TCCCTACATCTGGGAAAGACCTGAGGCAAACCCAGCATTTCTCACCAATGTTTCAGGAGTCTAGACTCCTTGTAGTTCCTGCTCTAAGCTATGATTTAGGAGACTTTATAAGCCTATCCCTTTAGCCATGCCTCAGAAGTGAAGAGAGGTGTTTAGAATTTCATCTGATAGTCTGTTCTCCTTTCAAGATACACCGACACTTTGCAATCATTTGTTCTCATTTTCCAGGTAAGATCTAGGCTCCAAAGCAGAGGCTTTTTTACCAATAGATTCCAAAACCATATCGGGAGTAAATCTCTGAAATTCAAGCAAAGGTGATCAGCTGTGCTTTTAAAGAATGTACTCAGATCTAATAGAAACTGGCAGATCTGACCCTTCATATGAACAGTGTTTTTTTCCTGACAAAATGCAATGACTTCTCATAGAAAGATAACATCTTTAATCTGACTCTGATCTTTTCAGTCAGCTCTTTCAGTATTTGCCACTGCCTGGTACAGAGAATGTTTTCATTCTTCGGACCTGTCCAGAACCTTTTTAATATAATTTGTAAGCTGCATAAGCAGGTGGAGCAACACAATAACTATTAGAGAAAAGTTTTAAATTAATTCCTTAAAAAAACACAATAAAATTATAAATGCTATGGACAAAAAGGAGTAAAAATAATTATTTGTTTTTAAATTCAGTAAGAATATAGGCAAAACGTTTAAGATTATCAAAGTAGAAATTAAAGAAAGCATTTAAAGATTGTATACTCCCTTGCTCACATATGCTAATTTAAAAAAAAAAATTGTTACCCTATTTTTGAACTATGTTGACTTAACTTGACTTTGTCTTAAAATGCTTCAATTAGATATCCAAAAATCCAGCCATGCCCCAGATGTTAGTCAAATATCCAATTCACTATAATTGCAACACAAGTTTTTAACTATTTACACAAAAGCTTTCACAGTGTGATTAACTGGCACTGCCATTATCAGGGACTACCTTCCAGGCTTTCGCATAGACCAAAAAATTTCTGTGCATGAGCAATTCTCAAGCAGGCCTAAACGCTTGTTTTCTGGAGACTACTGAACTCAATATAGAGCCCAGAACTCTTCAAGCATAAATCTGTAATACAGCATCAGTTTTGGACCCCTCAAATCAAGACAGGCTTTGATAAGCTGAAGCAAGTTCAGTAAAGGTCCACCAAGAAAACTCATGGGGGCAGAAGCAGTTGACATGCGAGGAGAGGCTGAGGGAACTGGGCTTGTTCTGCCCGGAGAGAACGCGGCTTCAGGAAAACCTGTCAGCAGCTCTCCAAAACTTCAAAAGAGATTATCAAGAAGATGCAGCCAGGCTCTTTACAGTTGTGCATGGTAAAAGGATGAGAAACAACATACTCTATTGAATGAAAACTTTTCTAAAGATGAGGACAGTCAAGCAACTGGAACATGCTGCCACTAGAGGTTATATATTCTCCATCCTTGAAGGTTTTCAAGACCTGAATGGATAAAGTCAGGCAATTCATTCTGATGTTATAGCTGTGCTTTCAGTAGGAGGCAGATGCCTGAGGCCCCTTCAAAGCTGAATTATTCTATGATTCTGAACATTCCAAAAATCTCCAACCCTACATGGCATTTAAATCAATGGACTAGTGGTTTTTCACATTTGTATGAACTATTTCCTTACTGTTTATTTAAATCACCCTTCTGGGGTTGTAATGTGCATTTTTTAAAAGCCATTTAAAAAGAAAGGCGACAAATTTATAAAGAGATAGGTTGCTATGTATATGATTCATGTTTTCCTTCTTGCCCTTCAACCTACAATTTTCTTCAAAAATCTTTTTATCACTCTGGAACAAGCCCAATCTTAGTAGCCATTCTTATCTTAAGGCTCAAATCCTGGAAAGCATGAGTCAACTGGAATGCTCATGTGCTTCAGTTCTGCAATTCTACAATTAGTTCAGTACTGAACTAAAATCCAGAATCTGAATTTAATGGTAAAATCAATGGAAAGACTTCCGCTAATGTTAGAATGCACTGGTCAGTCAGGAACTAATTCTACAGTCCATGTCGTGTTGAGAGAGTCAATCCAGCTGTTTGCTGCTAAATAGATGCTTATTTCTGTTTGAAAATACTACTGCTTTTTCCTAGACAGTTTTATTTGTCAAAGCAAAAGGCTTTGTCTGGGGTCAAAAACATGTCTAGAACAGAGGTTTCAAGCAGAACTTTGCAACTTTCTGTAGGACTTTATTGAATCTACACCATTTCACATTTTTCTCTTTAACTATAATCAAACATAAACATAACTAAATAAGGAGAGAATAGGCTTCTACTTTAATAACATAAGCTTCTAAAAAAACGCTCCAAACCATGTAACCATGTTCCAAACAGTTTGCATTGTGTATTTCAAATTATAAGCCTCATTTACAATAATTTCAAGATCTTGGATACAGTAATTACATGCTGACAGTTCCACTATGACCATCAAGATGACTTATAAAGTTCTTGTGCACAAATGTTTGCAAGGCAAAGCACCTATATTCAGAAGGCTATATACATTCTTTTATTCTGTAGGAATTTAGGGTTTGAGGAGTTTTCTGCCATATATGCCTAAGACCAGAGAAATACATTTAATATAGTGTTTACAGTATTATTTTTCTAATTAAAAGGTGACAAAGAATTAGCTAAATTCCCCCAACAGGATATTACACTAAAGACAGAATGTTCCAAGCAACACAGGCACACAGAGAAAGACAGACAGTACTCTAAAAATTTAGAATTAGCAAAGCTCATAATCAATATTTTATTTTTTAAATAATGAGGTTATAAAATATAAAATGCAGTTATATTGACTGGTCAAGATCAAATTACTTTATCCTCAGTTTATTTTGATCTGTGTAATACAATTAAGGCACTGGTGAAGCAGTAAATTTATTTTAAACTAAGGAAATTGTATTAATCAATAATTCACTTTAACTTTGCCTAGGAGTTATGGTTTTGTACCAGTAGAAACAGGCGTAGCTATTACAAATTTATTTGCATTAGCCTGATTGTCACTCCTATCCAAAAACGATGCCATTGCTGGAATCTGAGCAAAGTAGTTTTTTGCCCGGATATGCTTATGTTTTATTCTGTGGATAAATGTCGCTTGATAAGCCTGAAAGGAAAAAAAATCCAAATCCCATTAAATACAATTAATATATCTAGCAATCTGCATATTGCTTCATAGTTTATGCAGTATAAATACTGACATTTTAATAAACTAAACCAGATAATATATTAATATATGATACACAATGAAATATATTTTAGTTCTATACTGCTACCTTATGGCCCAGTTGTGAAAGTTACTAACCACTCCTTGTGAATATTAGTCATCTTTTAAAAAAGGAAAAACTTCTGGCATATTTTCGCCTGTTCAATGTAAGACTTGTTTATTTCTTTTCAAGTAAGAATATTTGTACTTATATTTGAAAATTAAAAAGGCATTGCCTTAAACAGCAACATTTGCAAGGTGATGACTAGAAGATATTTCCTGGGTAAGAATCAGTGATTATTTACAAATAAACATGGCAACAAGCATTTTTTTCAGCATTTCAGTCAGCCTTTGCATTCAGTGGTGACATATTTTCCTAAATTTCTAGTGATTAGTAGTAGTTCAGATGATGTAATAAATAACCAGAATATTTAGGTGGAAAAACCCCTTGCTGTCACTTCTTCATAATTCATCTTTCTGAATAAGAATTGCTATTAAAGAAAGTGCTGGAGAGGACTTTTTTTTTGTTTCAGGGAGTGAGAAACAATGATTCACTGACAACATTTTAACTTTGTCTCAGTTTCCTTATTTCACGCTAATTTTGTGAAACAAAGCTTTGGCCATTACCAGTGAAGAAAGCTGACTTCTTGGTATAGCTGGCCCACTTCTATTTTTGTAGTGAGAGATAAGTGAAAATACCTTACAATTTTCAGGTAGGTTTCCATACCTTATCCATTGCTCCCCTGGCCTAACTCCCATCTCCACTGAAGTACACTAAAAGTACTGAAGCAGGAGATGCACAGGCTTTTTCCCATTAACCTTCAAATGCTCTTTGCCAATCACACAGATGTTGTTATAAGAGAGATGAATACATCAGAGATCTTAGTTCCCAACTTTGAAGGAAAACATTAGGAATAGCAAAATTATTGGCTCTTTCATTGTATTTAAATAATGTAAAAGAGCTCAAAAAAATCACTCAGTACTCTGTCTAATGCAGTTTCAGTTTCATTACTTGGGGAGAAAACAACGATGGAAAAAGTTTAAATCCAATTTGAAAATATTTTTATTGTAATTATGTAAAAATAATGAAATATATTTATTACAATTTATCGTTCATATTAAAAACACCAGTGTAAGCTCTGGATCTATTAAATCTGACTATGACATTCAGACTTACAAAGTTAAACCAGGTAAGTGCATAATCAGAATCTTAGCCTGCCGTAATGCCACTAACATACATTTATGGATGTAGGGAAGCATCACTAGATTCAGACTGCCTGAACAGCCTTGTTGACTGAAAGCGAGACACAGCAGTCAATATAGGAATTTCCAGCTTGAAATTGATTCTGCCTTTTAAAGCTAATGCTCACATAAACATGTGTCTGTCTGAAGACACAAATTGGGCACACACAGAAAATGTATCATGAATGGCAGAATTCCCTTTACCTTAGAGTTCCCTGACTAATACATTTCATCCCCAAAGCAAACCTTTCATTAAGAGAGCCATTCATTTGCTCTGTCAGTTTAGTTATCTCATACTCTCAAGATTTGCAAAAAGGATAATGAGTAACAGCTGAAGATGCATTCTGATGTACACATATTGTGTTAGAAATTGAATTAAGAACACCCTGAACAAAAGCACACTATACAAGAATGACCTCAGATCACTACTTACATAAATCAATAACCTAGAGGTGAAAGGTGTAATAATCCATTACTAATAGCAGGACAAAGGCAGCTCACAGGATTCTCTTATGCCTTTAAAAAAACTAAATATTCTACCATATGATATCCAGTGGAGTGAGAGGTTTACCAAACTACCATGTTTAGAAACAGAATTTGGGGGGAGAGGTATAAAAATACAGTTTTAAGGACTTCTTTAACAAATTCTTCAATTTTTTCAACTCAGAACAGCAATTATGTTTTTATTGCTTAATTACAAACTATAAGATTACATTGTCAGGGGTACTTAAATGACATCTATGTAAGAAAGTAAACTGAGACATTTTATTATGACAAATGGTTAAGTTCTAGACAAAAAGCCATTCTGTTATTTGATGAGAAATTTATAGGCCAGAAACTAATGAGGCTAGAGTATGTGTGCATTAGTGCACAGGCACACAACTGTCAAAAGTATTTATGGTTAGTCTCTAGTATGCTTTTTATACAGGCCAGCTCTTGTCTGATCTCAGCTGAAGGAAGAGCATTGGCATGGCACTGTTCTCAGTAGGCAGCCTGGATCAGGCCACTTAGCTTCTTGCATTTCAGGAGGGAGAATCAGGGCAAGACAGAGTTTAGGTACATGGATGTGAGCTGTACTATGCATGTTACCCTCTGGACTAGTGCTCATTTTCTTTAATAGTACAGATGCAATAATTTAAATAGTCATAATGGGCCAATTTAAACATGGATGAGTGTAAGGACTAAATTTGGCCAAACACCATTAGTCACAGGAATCTATTAAAATACAATATAAATACTGTAAAAAATTAAGCCCATCAAATTTTACCTCCTGAAGGTTACACAGCTTAAGATGTGCATCTGCCTCCTCTTTAGTGAGGAAAATAGTGTTCCACGGAGACCACTCATGCTGCTTATCCCATCTGACCATAACCAAATCATAGAGGTCACTGCAGGCACTGAGAGCTGACTGGCAGCCCCATATGTTCTCAATCATGTAATGCAGATCTTGATGCTGAAAAGGAACACAGGGTTAAGGAAGAAGCATGTTTCATTCTACAACAAAAGCATTGTACCTGTATAAAGATCCAAATAAAGATTTGAGTAAAAAAATTTACTATACATATGTCATAGAATCACTTGGTTAAAGAACATCTAGACACATACATCTTCCTCTAGCATGGAATGGCAATTAACTGCATTTTTCTTCTATCATCTCTAATATATTACATTCTTATTTCTATTGTCTCTGCCAATGGCTATTCATATCTTCTGTTAACATCCTGATTGCTTAATTGCTCTTATAAAGCTTCTTAAATCTCATGGTGGTTTTTTTTTCATGCAGAATGCTTACACCTGTTCAGACCTTTTTGGTTAATAACAATAATCCATCTCTGTCATCTCTGAGATGACTTCCCCATTTCATTCCTGGATTCATAATTAATGTTATTCAATAAATGAGTTATGATGCTATTAAATTACTTAATATTTACATAGAATCACCTGGCCTGAGAAATGTGGGAAATTAGGGTAAGAAAAAACTCACACCTGTGACAGACCCCAAATCACTGCCTCTTTTTCTGTCTTCCCCTCACTCTGCTGTTGACATATGGAGAGTTTATTGTGCTCATGATACTATTGGTCATTTTAGCAAATGAGATTATAAAATCAGGTAGCTATGCTACAATATTAAGACAAAATAATAGAAGGGCTGTTTGTAAAGGTTCTCTAGTACAGAAAGGCCTTTAAATATACTTTTAACCTCTATCTAAGGTTAATCTGTGTTAATCTTAATTTGTTTAACTTATTGCTAGCCATCTGAATCACTACTAAATCTTGATAAACACACTCTCTTGAATGAAAGAAAAAAAAATTTAGGATGGCAGTTCCCACTGAACTTTAGCAAGTTTTTCTGTCACTCTCCATTAATTCTTCTCTGTATTAGTCATGGAAAATTACTAGATTTTTATCTACAGGAGCCTGTAAACAACAGACTTTTAAATAGATTTTCCTCCAAGCTAGTCATTTGAAGATTCACTCCTCTAAAAAGAAATCTTGACTTAGTTAATTAAGTAATGATGTTTATATATTACTTATTAAATTCCTGACAAAGAATGAATGAAACACAGTGCTTCAGTGAAAGGTAGCTGCATGTATTCTCATCCATCTTGCTTCCAAAATCCATTAAAAATGTAAGATAAAAGCTAGGCTTCAAACCTCCACTGGAAATAAATCTGTGCCTCCTAGTTCCAAGAACATGGGACTGGTCCTACATCTGGTCTTAAATCTGGTCCTACAGGGCCTCCTTTATTAGGTTTCACTAATTGGCTTCTGTTTTCAGTATTTCTTCCTTTTTCATAGAATTTCAAATAACTCCTGTATCTTCTTAGCAGCCAGAAATTTGCAAGTAGGCATATTAGCAAGTATTACTATTTTTGTGCTAAGCTCAAAAGTTACCAGAACTTGGAAAAATCTATACTGAGGCACATACGTGTTCATGTAAAAGAGATCCATAATTTGACTCTTCCTTTTTCCTGGATTTTTTTTTTTCCTGAAAAATAGTCAAAAGCTTGTCCTATATAAAAACTTTTCAGGTTATCGGGAAGTTTGATTTAAGAGATTTCTTCTGCACTTTCTAAAGGTAAGCGTGCATTTTGCTGTGAAATTTTACAGCTAAGTAATTTCATAAGATGCTTTCCCTCCCCAATTTGTTCTGTGCTCACAAGAAACAGCCTTCAAGTACTGTCATCTGACAGGCTGGGAGCAAGTATCATTGAATGCTTAGCAGGGAAACTGCTGAGACTGGGAAACAAGGGTGGGCAGCAAACCGATAAAGGAGTTAAGTGTATTTGTAACTTCAAATGAATACGACATTCCCATTAGGATGTTGCACATCAAGAAAAATCAAAGCTATAGTTTGTACCATCGATTCTAAGGAGCACAGCATAGTTAAACCCTCTGAAAGAACAAAAGGCAGCATCAGGACTTGACATATTTGCTGAACTTGTTCATTTTGATACAAAAAAAAAAAAAGGTCTTTAGCTGCAGTAAGCAGAACTTACTGGAGCTACCATAACTCCCACCAGCTGCTTTTTGCTTTTTAAACCTTAGCAGCTCTCATATACGTGGTGAACCCAAACACAGTTAGAATCCGTATGCAACAGATCTGAAGAAAAATCTTTATCTTCTCACAAAAGTCTTGCATCTACCCACAGACAATACAGTCAGAGCTAGTAATGGTACTGCACTGTGCAATGAATGGAGCTGTCCTAGCTGCTGCAAAAGACTTTTAATTTTGTCCAAGTAATTTCTAGATGCCTCAGAGCTGTTTACTGGATGTAAGTGGAGTAAAGGACAGATGGTTGTTGGGAGGGGAAGGAGGAAAAAAAAAAAGGCAAGTAGCTCAGAAGAAAATTAATAATTTAAGGAAATGTCAGGAAAAAAACCAAGGAAATTAGTGATTTAAGATACAAACCTCTGTTGTTTAGATATTTACAACTCTAAAGAGAAGAACTTAAGAACAGTTAAGAAGCAGTCATGCTTCAGTGCACCAATGGCCACCAGCCATCACAGGTGATGTAATGTAAGAGAGGTTCAAAAGATTTGGAGGATGTTTACATATTAAAATAAACTAAGTTAGACCCAGATAAAAAAACTTCAGCTTACATGAAAACCAATATGGACAAACAATATCTACAAAATCCAGGTTTTTTGATAATATTTCTTAACACAGGCATGATAATTAGAGAATCCTAATCTTCTTTTTGGCAGCTGCGATTGGCAAAGCACTAAATCACAGCATGGCTTGTTTTGGTAGCAGTGGGATATTGATGACTGGCTTTTGTTTGCTTAGTTGTTTTTTCAGACATACTGAAAATACAGTTCAAAAACTGTTCTATGAATATTGATGCTGTAGAGATTTTTATTACTAAATCTCACAAAGTTCAAATAAATCTCAGCTGTTCAATATTTTCAATAAATAACACTTTGCAGTTACCTCAGATTAAAAACTTTCCCAGTGGATACTGGATGTCAAATTCTTTTGTTAACAAAATACATAATAACAACTAAAAGAGAGAACTTGCTGAAGACAGAGGCAAGGAGTTCTTTGAACTGAATTGTCCTGTAATAATTATTATGAAATATTAGCTACTTAGTAATATTTCAAAAGATTACAGGTGATTATGGATGATGGTAAAAAAAAATAGAAAATTAACATATTTAGTGAATCCCTCTCCTAATAAATGCAAAAAAATAAAACTTTCAATTATACAGATATTCTACTGACATAGAACACGAATGTCAAAACCGCAGCCCCTTTTTTTTTCCACAAAACAATCTACTTGTATTACTAAAACAGTCCAAATAATGGGGCTTAAAATATTTTACTAGCATTATGTCTTGAACAGTATTGTAGTCACAAAAACATTATTGTTGCTTTACAGATGAAGCCAGTATGTTTAAGCAACAGGATGGCCGTAGCAGAACCAGAAGAATTTGGATGATCTGATTCTTTGACCTGTCAGCTAGACTTCTATCTTCTTTTAATGTATAGCTTGTAACCACTTCTGAAAATACAGCTATACTTCAAGAGCTTAAGTTCTTCTTCTTTATGGTATGGAACATCCCATATCACAGGAAGAAGTTACTGTAGCTATTAGCCTGTTTCTCCACCTGTCAACAATACACACAAAATAAAAGTTATAGTCAAAGCCACTGGTTTCCATTATTAGCAATGCTCTTTCAGACAGTACCTGAACTAAGAAAACAATTTTAGCATTATCCTGATAATCAGCTTCAGCCTTTCTGAGATTTTCTAGTATAAGTTTGTACTTCAAATATGCTTCTCGTTGCTGAGCCTCATTATCAAGCTTGTAACACAAGTGACATCTGCCAATGGTGCGGGAATTAGCAGGAACAGGAAACTCGTTAGATGGTAAGTAATTTTCGCAACTGTGACAGAAGTTAACATTTTTATAAAGATTTAAGGGATCTGGTGGAACCTAAAAGATTAAACAAAAAGGTTAATTTACCACAAAGTATCTTTGTACTACTTGTGTGTCACCCTATTGGAATACATTTTACACATATTTATGCAAGTATTCTAATATGTAAAACCAGTAATATTTATTTTAAAATACCCAGTAAGGTTGTTTTGGTTTTATTTTTTTTTTAAATAGATTTTAAATAGAAGACCAAAAGCCATTCTATTTTGTTACTGTACTTGTTAAAATCAGTTATATAAATCAGTCAATCTTTAAGCTATATGAAGATCCTAGACATTATGCTCCAGTAGTCTTGCTGGTGCATTTTCTGTATGCAGATCGTCAGCCATTCTGGAAAGGTGACAACGCAGAGAAAAAAACTAGTTCTTCTGCATTTAGTTTTTTATATAGAACCTGCCATTTATGTCAAAGATAAAACCCTGAGATTATGGGCATATTAATATTTTGGCATAAGAATATAAAATCATCAGAGCCACACATCCAAAAACAATACAGAGGAAGATAATAAACTAAACTTGCTAATGACTTCCCCAACCTCATATTGCTTCATGGGTTCTGGAAATAATTTAAAGTAGTCTGTGCAGAGGGCCCAAGTCTGTAATTAGGTAGTTTGAGTAGTCTGATAGTCCAGCCACCTATTGTGTTAATCTACCTTTTTTTGAAAGTACCCCAAGAATTTGGTCACCTTGACTGTCTGCTGATCAACTGCCATCTTTTTTATGGTCTACAAAAGGTTACAAGATTCAAATACAAATATAGGTGCAATTCAGCCTTCAAATCAAGGTACAGAAGCCAAAGATCTCCCATCTCCAGTCCCTGCTCTGACCCATTTAGGTAACCCTGTTCATAAACATAGGGTAAAATAACTGCTGGTTCACTTTAAATCCCACTAACATTTACTGTCAGATTCCCGGCTGCTGAGATACCATCAACCACAGTAAAAGGAATCGTCTTCTGATAGGTGCAGAACACATGTTGCTGTGTAAAGCAGCAACATATGATAGGAATCATATTTTTAATTGTAATCCGTAGTCAGAAAAGAAAAACAATCGCACAACTTGAGAGGTGTCTATCACTATTTCCACTTCATAGCTGTATCTGCTTCCCATGAAATAGCAACTGGTTGTACTAAAGAAGCTCGTAACAGCTCTTGCTTACGTGCAAGCTCATGAAACATCACTTTTACAACGGCAATGTTCTTCCTTTCTGGATGAATGGGATGTTGCCTCTTGTTCAGTGGAAGAAAGACTGTCTCTATTGGCTCTCCATTTGGTATTACAGTTTACTGTTACCATCCCATGAGATCTACCATTTAAAATTTTCAGATTTTTTTTTTCATGCATAGTGTTCCTGGGCTCTCTCAGTGCTACCAGCCATCTGTCAACTTCTTATACCCATGTCTATGTCCCATTTTTCATATATGCCTATATAAGCTTATTTGTGTGAAGCCTGTGTTTCACTCCTTGAGAACTCCTCCAGCAGTTCTCCACCAAAATCTAAAAAAAAAGCTTCCATTGTTTTCCATTCCCCTTCTCCACCATCCTTAGTTTGATGGCCACTACGTCAGACTGCAAAATAAGAATAATACCTTAAGTATCTTAGCAACTTCAGGGTTAAACTTTGGAGTTTTAATATACTGAAGAAATAATGTACAAATTCTTTTCCTCAGTCCTTCTAAGTTGCATTCTTTCACCTCTCTTGACATAAGGTCAACTTCCCTGTCAATTAATTCCACTATTTCCTGTGTTAATTTACATTCATGTTCCTGAAAGAAAACACAAAGAAAAACCAGGAAAACAAACTCCACAACAACACGGAAGCCAACAAACAAAATAGTTCTAATGCAGATATGAAAGCAAACTATAACTTCTTTGCCAATCATCATTCATACCTCTGCATCTTCACATTAAGAACATGTTCATATAAGAAACCCTTAACGTCTTCGGAAAACAACCTCCAAGAAAACTAATGTCAAGAATAAAAACCTGAGAATGCTTACAGACCCTGCTTTAAGGGGCCTGTATAAATACCAAAGCTGTGAGGAACTGTAAACCTGGTGGCATTAAAAATGCTAAGCAGAGGCACAGAACACATATGAAGTTCTCAGCCTTCAAAGGCCCCAAGGAGTATGTCGCTAAGAAGCTTCTTTTGGCTATGTGACAGGAGGTGTCATGTACACACACAGCAGATGGTTAAAAACACCAAAAAACACCAAAACATGCCTTCCCTCCCCCCCCAAAAAAAAGAATAAAAAACGACCGAAACAAAAAACCCCTACCGCACAAAAGGCATGCGGAACTTTATGGGTATGCTCAGAAATTAGTTATTTCAATACTTCAAATGTTTAGCAGGAGATTCTCCAGAGAGTTCAGTGTTTTCTCACCTAAAATAGAGTGCTAATTTACAGAAATTAGAGAATTTTTCTATTACAGCAATATTGAATTGTATTAAGATGGGCAGGAGTTCATAAACCAGTCATGCTCCCAGTGCTATATTGGCTTTAGACCAAATTCTGGTACTACCAAAGCAAACAGCATGTTTGTTTTAGTAAGACCAGGAAGCAGAATTCTATTCTAGTATGACATCAACTGTATCATCCTGAAAGTAGCTTGAAACTCGTATTAGTCTTTTGTACATGAATAAATAAATAAATAAGTAAAATATGAGGAACTAAAAGAAATGCAGCCAGCTTCTAATGCACTGGCAACACTGTCAGCAGCAGTGGGGGTGACAAGTGAGGGGCAAAGAAGAAAAAGAAAAAAACAAAACAATATTTGCCAGCCATAAAACTAGTAACCCAAACCAACAGAGAGATAAGGTTCTAAACAGACATTTCAAAGAACAGAGGAAAAAAAAAAAGTAATAGTCACATCTCTGACATGGTTTTCATCAAGTTGTTATAAATATCAAGCTAACCTTTGAACTAAAATTTTATTATGTATCAATATACAAAAAGTCTAAAACCACTGGTTTAAAGTTCTAACACAACTTGAAAAAAATGTGCACATCACAAAGTGAAATATGAATTCAGAGTATATCTGGAATGTAAATTACACTCTCATGCCAGGTGGTGCACTTGGCTTTCTCTTGCTGCCAGCTGATCATCCTGGCACCTGTTTGCCAGAAGAAGTATTGCTTATATCTCAACATAATTAAGTCACTGTATCTTTGGGAAGTACAGCTTCAAGCTAAACATAAACAGAAAAATAAAACATACCTTCACTGTACGTCTGAGTGTTAACAGCACATCTAATCTCTCATCTTTTGGGATGCCACTCATGCTAATGCTGCGGTAGATTTCAAATAGTTCTCTGGCACGGAGTGTGTACTGTGTATCCACTTCAGTGATTTTTCCATCATATGCTTTCCATCTCTTAGGTTGTGCACACTTCAGAAACAATTTGTACAACTCTGAGCTACTATAATCTTATCACCAGCTGAACAAGTGCATTATGTTACAACAAGTTTCACCAGAGCAAATAGGCACTTAACATTAATGCTTGACTATTACAAAAGGCTAATTCTTTTGTTGATATTTACACAGTACCTTTTCCACCAGAGCAAGTATTCAATTGCACACTTTGTTTAAAGTTGCAGGTCATGAAAATTTTGACTTACAGTATATTAAAAGTAAATAATATTCTCCTACAGAGATATGCTCTACTTCTTTAAAACAAATTTACTGACAGTAGTGTTAGAATACATTTGCTCTCTATTTCATCTTGCAGTCAGAAATCCCCCTGAACTACCAGTAAAAATCAATGGGACTGCTGACTGTCTAAAGATTGCAAATTTAAGGCCTCAGACTCTACTGCAGTACAAGATAACTCCAGGGAACTGTTCTATTTATGCTAGCTATACAGACGGATAGAGGGCTTAGACTTTGTTAAACCTGACTAAGGCAGCGTATGAGTTTACAGCTTATCAGATCCTTCAGACAGCTTCTTGTTTGCTAACTTAACCACATACCATATGCCTCCTACTTCAGTTGTTTCTCTGCACGTGTTTAACTTCTATAGACAGGGAGAAGTTTTGTGTTGTCGGCTGCACCACTTGGTTTAAAAACTCAGGAGGACTGGTTTTGGTTGCAAGCCACACTGTTACAGAGGGGGCCAGTGCACTGCGGCGGTAGTATCTAAATCCAATAGAATGACAGTATTCAAAACCCCCTCCCCATCGTTAATTACCTAACTCCACTCCCTTTCCTTAATTGGGACAGCTATTTGGAACCTTATTCAGAGTATTAATTATTCTCTTTCACTATATTTGGAACTTGAGTGTTCACAAACACTTGCGAACTTCACTCCACCATTTCAGCCTGAGTTAACTACAGCAACACTTCACGGAGCATTCACATGCTGAGTAGTCTTCTGGATATGGCTCCGGCATTGACATAATCATTATTTGGACCAAATATAAAGGCGATATGGTGATAAGTCATAAAAATACCAAGAATATTAGATAGAACAGATATACTCAGTCACCACCACAATCAAAATAGAGATTTCCTCACTTTTAAGTAAATAAATTATTAAGTTAGTTAAGCGAAAGAAAGACAAAATAATTGAAAAAATAATTTAACACTGAATAACTGACATTTAATTACATTTTCAGTGGGGGTGCAGTCACTGTTAATCAGAAGTCACAATTCAGAGCCAAAACTGAATAAGAAATTCAATAACAAAACCAAACATTAGTAAAAAAAAAAACCTCTTAATTCCCTAGTGAAATCTTTGAACATCTGCAAAACTAGAAAGAAGCAATTTTCTGTCACAAAAAGGGAGCATTCTACTGGAACTTCATGACTTTGTCTCACTATCTTAGTATAGTACTACAAATTCTTAAAAAAAATATATTAAAAAACCCCAACACAAAACAAAGAAACAAAACCCTAAAACAAGCACATAACAAAAAAAACCCCAACAACTCAGAAGCTCTAACATGTTGTAACTCCTTTGTAGGCTAGACAAGCAAAAATCACTGTTTTAATGCATTACCTACATTTGATCCTCCTTGATGAAATCACTTAATAAGACAGAAAGGTCATTTGCTTATGCTAGGGAGGGGCAATGGGCAGTGTTTGCCCTAGGAAGTGGTTCTTAGAACTAGGTTCTTCTGATAAATTTGCAACAACCCATATATGAGCTAGCAGTCTTGGCATTCCACTCTGCAAATGTCTCTTAACACAGACCAACTATGTTATGATAACATCTAAATCATTCAAAACAAGATATAAATCTCTAAGTTCTGTAATTTTTCTTACTACCTCATCATAACTGGTTATCATATAAAATAAAATAATTTAAAAAGAAAGAAATTATGTAGCTTTTTACTGAAAAAATACAGAGGTCTCATCAATATTAAGATTTACAGTATTTCAGAAAGAATTACAAACTCTCTGATTTCAGGACTATCTTCGTGTACTCCAGATGTGAGAAAACTAAAACTTCAAGATTTTTTTGACAGCTTTTTCTTGCCTTTTACTCTGCTGGCAGTGTTGCAGAATTTACAGTAATCCTCTTATCTGTATTACTTCAGAGAGCAAGACTACTATAACTGCACTCTGCTGCCAATGCATGAAAGCAGAGAAAAGCACCTGAAGAGACAAACACACCACCACAGAGAGAAAAAGGTAAGAGAAGTAAAAAAAATCCATATGATAGGTGTAGAAGTAACACAAATCATGAAAGGTATGAACCGAGCAATAGTTAATAATTACACAAATTCCTTTAAGAAAATATGATTGCTCTATAAAAGCTTAATCACATACTTCCTCTTCAAAATACAAATGTTGAAGAAGAACAAGCTCAGTGTAAAGAAGAACCCCCTAGAATATACTGCACACACCGCCAGTGGCGGCCATGGTAAAAGAACACGTGTGAGGAGGTATAGCTTAAAGTAGCAAAGAAGGGAATGAAGGTTTCCATGGAGATCCAAGTTTCATATCACATTGGCTACTGCAGCAAAGTGAAATGTTTGTAGTCTTCAGATGTGAAAAGTGTTATTTTAACTGGCAAGTGTCCAGATTAACATTACCAGCCCAAAGTTCAAAAAGTAACTGAATAATCTATAATCTAGCACTCCAACAATAAATTTCATACTACCATTTAAAGTGCTTAAATTGCATTGTTACAGTCATAACAAAACATCCATTTAATTCTGAGATTTCCAGAATAATTATTTATTTTATTTTTTAAGAAATGCAGATATTATTACTTATTACCTCTGAGTTAGGCTGCTATGTCAGCAGTTTATAGCATCACTCAAAACCCTGACATGATACAAAACATGAAAAAGTTGCAGTAGTTCAGAAGCTCACTAGATTTCCAAATTAAAAAGAAATCAGCCTCTTTAATGAAAAACATAATTTATAAATTTAAAATAGGAATAAATAAACTAGTAGTAAGTGCTTCAAAAACATGACCACTGTTTGGAAAGAGGGAGCATCCCTTGTTTCTCATGTGTCTCCTGAATCTCCAGACATCAACTGTCACTAAGAATTCTGGTACTCAAGAACAATTTGCTTCTGATATAACAAAACTGAAAACTTGTAAGAATATATAATGGAAGTAATCTATATAGGGTAGGACACTGGAAAGCAGTCCTTAACTGAGTCTCTATATTTATTTTTCCTTTAAGAGAGAAATATATTTACTTTGACTGTTCCAGGCTTTTTTCTGAGAAGATAACAGAATATATTGTAAACAGTAGAAGTAAACTATTAACATAGAAATTATTCAAGGTTTTTATATCATTCCTAAATATTTAGTTTTCTGGTTTTTTGCACTCTTGAAAGCAGTAACAGAGAATATAATCACATCACAACAATAAACTTGGCAACAGTTCCACCAAAATTTCAGATAAGTAATTTGTTCATCATGAAGAAAGGTAATAGATTTTATCACTTTTTACCATCCCATTAAATCAGTAATAAGAAGAATTTTTAAAAAGCCTATTTTGCACAAAACTGCCATTTTTACTTTTGAGCACTAAATTGTCAAAATTTTAAAAATAACTAGATACCAAAACAACCTATTTCTGTTGCAGTATTTCTTTTCATAATTATGTCACATACTATGAAAAGACAGAAAATCTGAGGGGATGGATTACTGAGACATCTACCTAAAAAGGACTTTTTAAAAAAACTTTACATTAAGGTGCCACTGAATCTATTGCCATTCTAAATCACCTTTGTGTACAAATGAATTCTTATCTTTGTTTTATAGATGGGAGGCTGAAGAACACGCGTTAAATTTCATCCCCAAGATTACACAAGAATAAAATCTCAAAGTTCTAACGCAACTGCAACTAGTGAATTAATAACCAAGTTCAATATTATATATGATTCAAAGCTCTTCTGGGTTGCTATCCTTTACATGAAAGCAGAATAAATGCTTTCTTTAAAGACAGATATATGATGACCACAGGCCTGTGCTCAATGGGGAAATAAATGATGAAGGATAACATTTCTGAGGGAAGAAGAAAAGAAAAGAATGCATTCTGCAGGGTTATAGTTTAATTTTATAAATCCTTGCTTAAATGTTTGCATTTAAGTTTAAATACAGTAGCAAACTTTTCACTATAGAGAACAATAAGCAACATAGAGGGGAACAAAAGGAAAATCACTTAGTCATCACTTTTGATTAGTGAAACTGCACATTTTTGAAAGAGAAACAGATTTTTAAATTTTCAAAAACAGATTAGGAAAGAGCATAGTTTCATGCATGAATTCCTACATCACTGTAATGCACACAATACAAAATATAGAATGGTATGCAATATCCTGATGCTTTATAACCTCAAAATTAACCATTCTGAATTGTTAGAATTTGAGCCTCTAATGATGTTAACAGTGCCATCAGAATCATGTTTTTATGCAGAATAGTTACATAATACAAAATTCATACACTCAGTGCTATTTTTTTTAATTATATATACAAACCTGACATTTACCATAGACACAGGTAGTTAACAGTCTTAACGATGCAGTGTTAGTCCTTCAGCGAGTCACAGAGTTAAGAAATTCTTAGCTTCGAAAAAGAAATGTACTGAATTGTATTCATATGAACAGCCAGATAATTTTGATATTTATAACATTAGCATTCACATGATTGACTGTTAGAGCTACAAAAGTTACTTTTGGCAGGTAGTTTGCAGATGTCTTTTCTGTTCCTGTACTTTGGTATTCTGTATGTTCAGACTAAAATTACATCACTGACCTTATCCATAAAGTGCAGTATTGCTTTTTGTTGATTCTCCTCATCTGCATTTAGTTTGTGTCTCCCAATGGAAGCAATCAGCTGTGCCTCTTGTTCCAGAAGTCCACAAAGTGCTGCCTTTCTTTCAGCTCCAGTAAGAGTTCTGTTAATCCATTCAGTCTCCTCCTGCCTCCATACTATAGAAACAAATATTTTGGGTATTTTTTATATGATGATTTTTTACAGTGAAACTTCTACTTTAATATTTAAGAAACAACAGAATTAATTTTCAATATTCAAAAAATCCAGTTTCTAGTTTAGGGAATTGTTATACATATTTTCAATACATGCAAAATGGCCCAGAAATGAGTGTAAGTTATACAGATGTTCTATCAGAGTAAGTGTGTGTATGTCAGTTCCACACTGCCAATTCATACTCCAAACTCAAAGAGGGTTAGAAGAAAAAAAGAGCTCTATGTGAGAAGAATTTAGCACCAGTGGAAATGTGTGATGACATGATTTCTTCACGATCTTGCAACTAAAATAACTGTTTGATACTCAAAACAGCTCCAAAAGGTATGAGCAATAGGAACTTTTAAACAATTGCTCATCAAAGTCACAAGAAAAGATACCATGGAGATCTTCCCAACAGATTAAGGACAGCATCTTACTGTGGTACCACTAGTACTCAGTGCTGAGAATACTGCTGCTTCCCCCTGCATAAATGAGTAAAATCTAAAGAAGCTTGAAGTCCTCACAAACTTATATAAAACTTGACCAACAGTCATGTTTAGCACTCCAGGTCTTACACTGAATATTTCACTGGTGTCATCTTTTGCCATCTAAAGCAGCTGGATGTGCATTAGTTAGACAGTCACTGCTTGACTCTCCCTTGCCTCTTCTGCAACAGAACCCTTCAAGTGGAAGTGGCATGCAAACCACAAGATAATAATGACAGCAGCACATGGATCCGTACACACTGTAAGAATCTGGCCTTCCAACTCCTAGGGCCAAATCATCAAACCTTCTGAACTTGTAAGTTAGACTACTTAATGACAGCAACATACAGATATATACGTATGTGTCTATCATGGTGCACTTTGTAGTACCCATTTTTTGACTGTAAATGCTGATACACAGACTACATGCCCTTACACAAATCTGTTAGTAAAATCAAATTGTTTTTACTGAATACTGTTTTCCGTTGCACGCACTATAACAATTCTCAGCTTTTCTGAAGACTTTGTTCCATTTCAAATATATCTGGAGTTTTGTAGGGAATTTTATAAGATCCAACACTTCAACATTCCTGAATAATATCTCAAAGTGCTGTTACTGTTCCAGAACAGTTATGCAAAGGCAAAACCCAATGTAAAGAAAACAATCCAATAAGTGAGGCACACTTACTGGAAAAACCTGTAACATCCTGCATCAGGTAATATTAGAGGCAGGAGGAGGGAAAGGAGGCAAGTTTATTTTCTGCCTGTGGCTTCCTTATCTACAATACCTTATATTTTTCATTTTAAAATATTTCCATTCATTTCCTTAAGGCTCTCCAAGCTTTGGTATAATATGACAGCTGTCTGACAAGTTCCAAGTACCCAAAGATATATTTTTAAATAAAGCATTTCAGTAAACAAAAGCACCGTAGAGAATTAATTTGTTTGAAGCTTTATATGCCTTTAAATAAAGCATTTCAGTAAACAAAAGCACTGTAGAGAATTAATTTATTTGAAGCTTTATATGCCTCAAGGGGGCAGCAACTTCAAAAGTAGAGCTATAAATCCAGTAAGCAATTTTGTACTTAGAGAAATGAAGAAACTGTCAGTTATCATCAATACTCACCTACTGATTCACCATATATGTGCAATCAAGTTAAAAAAAATTCCTCTTAGTTTATCTGTTCTACAGAGATTTTATTAATTATAATTTTTATTCCAGTTTTTATAAAACAAAGTAGTTTATGCTTTTTAAATAAATAGTCAATGTCTCTATATGCAGGCACACTGAATATATAGCTACATCTCATTTTCACCATACAGTCAACAGGCAAGTTTTTGTACCAACAGGAATTGCTATTACTGGTTAACCCTGTAATAGTATCCCCCTGTTGTGATCAGCAGCAACAACCTTCACAGATCTCTAGAGGACAATAGTCTCATTCTATTACTGTCACAATGATTTAGCTTGTGTAGACTGTTGACACTATAAGAATGTAAAAGCAGTTTCAGATACAGGTAGAAAAAACAACTTCATAGACCCACTAAGCCCTACTAAAATGAAGAGCATGACTGCAAGTCTCCATGCAGAGAAGCAACTAGTCAACACCGGTAAACAAAAACAAACAAAAAAGATTGATACCAGGCCATAATTTTTAACAAAATGTTAAAAAGACATTTCAAATACTGGAGTTTGTTCTGTCCCAGTTTGAAGTGGCACATGCTTTTTCAGGTTGCCTAGATATTAAATTCCTGAACATGCGAAGCTGAAAGCTTTGTTATTTGTGAATTCAATTACATTAAATTAAGCAAAACAGACACTTATATAACCATAAAATTTAAATCTAAAAATACTGGGAATATCAGCACTCATTCACAACTTTAACTCAGCTTTGTTGTTTCTATTGCAAATAAGACTCATCACACTTTAAAAATAGTCGATTATACATTTGATAGCACATTAGCTAGGAAGCAGTTTTTTTAAAGAAAATATTGCAGGAAATCAGATACCAAATAGTAGCACTTGCCATAAGTGGAGAGGAAAAAAATTATTATTTGAGTACCTTGGCTTTTGATAACCTAGTCAGACACACCTGTAAAAGGGCTCGATTCTTGTGAAGTGAAAACGATCTATGAAGATAAAGGGGGGCGGGGGAAACAAACCCTAACAAACCACACATCTCATTAAGATGACATTCCCAAAATTCTAAAGTTTAAGACCAGTAATAATTTTGACATTTGTCACAAATAGCAATATTTGCAAGTCACTTATACATTCAGACAAAGAGATTTGTTCAATGCCACACAAAATATGACAGTAGTAAAATATCAGCATATAACTTGGGAATTCTTGAATCATGATCATAAGCTTGATGAGTAAGACACGCCACCAAGTTTATGCTCGTCTTACCATGGAAGAAATAGCTGGGATGGTTTAAGGTAGGTCAGGTGGCTTTGTAATAAAGCAGGTAATCCTTTAGGCCAGTTCTGCTATAGGGACAGTAATGTCCAAACTGCCAAAGAGTTACTGCCTAAGGAAGCACTGCAGCCTTAGATAATATACGAGTTGTTACAAGTTACAATGCAAGCATCTTCCTTAAAAGAAGACATTTTAAAAAGAACTCTCAGAGCTTCATTACATGCTGGTACAAGCCCACTGCTTTCATTGGTTTTGTTTTTCCAAAAGAACGTACCCTAGGTTTTTTGCAACATTATTCTCCTGCAAGTTACGTCAATTATCTGCAGTATTCACCTTATTTTTCCAGAAAAGTTTAGAGGTGCTTGCCTATATTAGACACTATCCACTCCAACAGGAAAAGTAAGTCTTTCGTGATGCCCTGTAAGGCTGCTACAGATTTGAAAAATTTTGACAACACAGTTTTGTGAAACATGGAATAAATTAGAAAGGAGAAAAAGGAGAAGGAGAAGGCAACTGGAACAAAAGGAATAACCTCAGTCATATATTGTAAAATTGGGGGGGAATATTTAATCTATTATATGAAATGTCTATATTAAATTATGAATGATGGATCTTAAAAGTAATTTCTTCATGGTATTATTTTCAGCATCCTAAAAAAAATTAAAGTAACTCTGATGCAAAAAAACCCATTTCCTTGTTTCTAGCTGATCTTAACATTACAGATGAATGGAAAAAAAACCCAACCAAACAAACAAAAAAACCCTGACAAATAGCATTATTCTAAAAGCTGATTATTACCTAAAAGGGTGTGCTGGTTTTGGCTGGGATAGTGTTAACTTTCTTAATAATAGCTTGTATGGTGCTATGTTTTGAATTTGTGATGAAAACAATGTTGATAACATAGGGTTGTTTTAGTCATTGCTGAGCAGTGCTTAGACAGTGACAAGGCCTCTTCTCCTACTAGAAGTAGGTAACAGTCAAATAATTCTTTAAAAATGAAAGAAATTCCACTAAGTCAAAAAAAAACAAGGAAGTATCTATATAAACATGTTAAAACCAGAACAGTTTCTTTTAAACAAACTGTACTCTTTAGCTGTTTTTGAGTATCTCTTAACACAAAAAAGCCTTACATTCTAAAGCATGGTACAGTAGCTCAAAGTCTTCTTTTGTTTTAGGATTAAGTCTTCTTTCATGCTCCCTTCTCAGTTTCTCTTCTTTCTCTTTTTTTTTCTGTAACTCTTCTTGTGCCTCCCATGCCAGCCTTAACCTCTTTTCTTCCATCAGATTTTGTACTACTTTCATAGCATGCCAGCGACGGAAATATGTCTGTAATACTATTACCTACATGTGATACAATACCAAAGAATTGTGAATTTAAAACAATACAGCCTAATATTTTTTATTAACTGTTATTTTTTTCTAGCTACTTAACTACATTTTCTAAGATTTGTCTTGTACTCAAACTAATTTAAATGTTACAAAAAAAACAGTCCTACTGTTAGTCTAAACACTAGTATGCTTACTTATTTAGATAACTGCAGGAGTTTAACCAGTGAGTATAGTGGAGAAATAGTCAAGTTAATGTATAAACTACAACTACAAAATCTATTTTTCTTTTTCAAATCTCTCCTTAAAAATGCCTTTTACTGTTTTTACTCTTTTCAGCTTTATGGACAGAGGTCCTCATTTTACTATGCATTGATACAGCGTCTAGATTGGGAATTTAGACACATATTTGCAACATGTCTTTAAAATTTCTAAATACAAAATTTAACACACATGCACACAAAATCAACTGTACTGTATTTGTAAACAAATACTGAAAGTTAAATTACCGATGCTGTTATGACAGAACTTAAAAAAGAAAATTAAGAAATCCACCTTCCAAAGCTGTGGCCATTAAAGACTAGGGAAATGTCCATACTAAGCTCAGCGAGCAGGGCGCACAAGCCCTGAGCTTCTGCCAGCTGAGTTAGCACTCGCACCACAAGCCCTTCAGCCAGGTCAATACCATGAGCTAATAAGCATTGCTCAGCATTGAAGGCTATCAAGCACAAAAGGACGCTAATACAGTTATACAGTCTCTAGAGATATCTTAACCTAACATTTTTCTTGAATATGTCTTCAGCTAGTATTTCAATATGGAACTACACTACAAATCCATCAACTTGAACCAACACCAAGCTGATGTCTCTCTACTGTGCATTACAGACTACCTACAGATACATTGCAGATTTCAGGAAGGAGCAGTAATGATCAGAGTAAAAATATCGGCAGTCCTGAGGAGATGGCTACCTATTTGGGTTGCACTTTCTACAAGACGCTTATTGCCATCAGCTGATGCTGACCAGATAAGAAGTTCTTACAGAAAACTTCTACCCAGAAGATTTCAAAGCATCTTGCCAACCATGTCAATAAAATTATCCTACTTGGACACGTGCGGAACTAACTGTTTCTCCATTTAGTTAAATTCAGACTGTCTATTTTAAGCAACCAAATTAATCACTAGACCATTTACAAAGCAGTGGCCCACCTAATATGATGTTGGGTGCTCTTAAGTTAGGTGTGCAGTCACTGAATACATGCTTTTCAAAAAGCAATTTGGAATGCCTAAAGGGCATCTTCTGCACAATGACTATATCTATATCCATCATCAGAATTGCCCACATGAGGCGACTCAGAGCACCAAAAAACTCCACAGGCCGATAGTATGTCTTCGAACAGACAGATAAGACCTTAATGACAAAGCAGGAGCTTTAACACAATCCAGAACATGTATGCCAAAGTATACAGTATGCCAAAGATAACCTGTCAGGCTTGTTAAAACAAATAAACAAACCCCAAACCCATAAGCTGGACAGGCTGGAGAAGTGGGCCCGTGT